CATAGCCTTGCAGGCGTCGGTGGGGTCTGTCGTCTGTCGTTTTGTTGTAACATCTTGCTATGGATGACTTCTTGAAGGTGTCCGTGGGGTCTGTCGGTCTGCGGCAACCACTTTCTGTCGTTCTGTTGAAACATCTAGACATCGACATAGCCTTGCAAGCGTCGGTGGGGTCTGTCGTCTGTCGTTCTGTTGTAGTATCTTGATATGGATACCTTCTGGAAGGTGTCCGTGGGGTCTGTCGTTCTGCGGCAACCACTGTATGTCGTTCTTTTGAAACGTCTAGACATGGACATATCCTTGAAAGCGTCCGTGGGGTCTGTCGTTCTTTCGCAAGACCCTGACATGACAGATCCCACCAAGATGTCCGTGTGGACTGTCGTTCTATTGCAATATCTTGACAGACAAATTCCTTCAAGTTGTTCGTAGGCTCGCAGGGTCTGTCGTTCTGTAGCAGCATATTGATATGGCGTTTTCCTTAAGGCGGCCGTGGGGTCTGTCGCTCTGTCAGAACATATAGTGATATATAAAACTATTTCAAGATCGGATTCCTTGCTGCATTCGTGCGCGCAACTCCTTTCAAGAGCGTGATTGCAGTGCCTGAGTGGCTGGCAGCAGAGACCCGAAGAGCGCATTCATTTTCTGTTCCACTTGTCGCTGGATGGCTGCATTCGCGCACGCAACTCACCCATTTGCAGCCGTTATGGCTCGCTTACCGAACCGGCCGGGGGCACCCCCGCTCCCCCCCCCCTTTCCCCCCCCCCCCCCCCCCCCCCCCCCCCCCCCCCCCCCCCCCCCTCCGCCTGTCCCCTCTCAACCTCGTGTGGTAGCGCCGCCCCAGCATGCGGTGTTGGCTGCTCGCCGTCGAGAGGCGGCGCTGCAATTGGCTTGAGTTTGGTCAGAGGACGCAAAAAAAAAACATCCTGGAAAAGCAATCATACGTTGTGTCAGGCGTCTGCCGCTATGGAACGCCTGATGCAGACGGAAACCTTGCAGAAGGCAATCGTGCTTTCTGCACTCGGAAATTTCAGTATTTGTCCGGCGTTTTTTCGTTCAGGAGAGGCAGAAGTACGCGACGCCTGTGCTGAAGCCGGCGAGGGGCTCATGCCAGCACTTTCGTTGGCGCCAGTCGTTACTGCATACACCGAGGTGCGAATACCGATGCCGCCTCCTTACCCTCCTCCGAAGAAGGAGCTCTAGCCGCTCTAGCCATACAAATAACTTGGTACTCGAAGTCAGCATCCATGCCAGGAGCACAAGACTTGGCAACGAGTCAGTGACTCAGAGGAAGAACAGATTCATCATGTCGCTCACACACCCACATGAGAAATCAACGCAGTACTAAGTCATGTCTTGCAAGGCTGCGAAACGAAAGCCGTCGACGCCAAGAGTCTGCAGCTTAGATCAAAACACATCTGAGCTCGTTGAAAATGTAGTTCGTATGCTGTGTCAGGAAGAGACACAGCTGAAAAAAAAGAAGAAGGCCACGGAGGTAGTGGCTGTCACATTCGAAGCTTAGTATGGCATTAAAAAAAATCGACTACGTGTGTTCTGCGCAAGGCCGAGGAGCTGTACGAAGATGTGCAGGTAGAAGTGGAGGCGGCTGGGCAAGAGTCGGTTGTTACAACGGAGCGCTCCCCTTGGACCTCGCAGAGATGATATTATATAAGATGGTTTCGTCAGGACTTTCAAGCATACCCCGGAAACGCTTATAAAGCCCTAAAGCTCATGTCATCGTGACTACCCTAAACACTAAACCCTTAAAACCTTAACCTTCCCTTTGCGCATTTCTGCAGACAGTTGCAAACGGTCTCAGAGGCGTTTGTTTTTTTTCTCTAGTCTTATGAAGCTTTCATAGGCTTCTTGTACATGCGAGCAAAGGGTCTAGGGTTTGAAGTGCGGAGTGGGGATTATGGAGTTTATGGTTGTGGATATGGGATTCGGATTTTACATTTTAAGATTTCGCATTTAAGGCTTGAGTGATACTGTTTTTTTTTCGAAAAGAGACCACTTACAGAATCCTAGACCTCAAATCATAAAAAACATGGATAAGTCACAATATCAAATTAAGCATTTGAATTCGCAGTTCTTGAGGCATTTAGTTTATGTGCCTTTATGGTTTCCATGCTGAAGAAGCAGGAAGCCCTCAACCTCAATAGCTCGGCGCGTCCCCAGACTAGCTCTCCATTGACATCCGGGTAGGTCGACGAGACAACGTCTGTGGGCCTTCGAGATCCGTTGCTGGAGGCATTTTACTAGGGTGATGCGGTTTATTAACTCTCAAGCCTCAACGGTCGCTTGATCACTGCGAGCCTTGCAGAACCAACAAAATGCACATACTGCAAGAGCCTCATTCGCATCGCTTTGTGTAAAGTCACATTGATTCCATGACGAATTTGTGTAAAACTATTTTGTGGCCAGGCGATGGATCGGTGGGCTTCTGATGCTGAGGGCGGCAAAGCTTCGAGAGACTGCAGTTTCCAAGAGGCCTGAAAACCTTGACCTTCGGCTACTGGTGTACAAAACTTGACTTTCGGCGTACTTTTCTACCCGAGCCTGGAGAAACTGCAGCTTCCCGGCACTCTGCAGACGACGGCTTGTAGGGACTGCGGCCCTGCAAGGCATACTCGTAAACTCTAAACCCTAAACCCTATTCCTCATTTAGGGGTATTGGACTCTTCGTATTTGCTGCAACTAGAGTGGGGAGAGATCCCTAGTACAACCATGTCCTTCAAACGTCGACTCTGGCAGCCCTTCTCGCTTCCTTATAGTAGCTTTTGAGGGTTTAGGCTCTAGGGCTGAGGGTTTAGGTTTAGGGCTGAGGGTTTCGGGTTTAGGGCTGAGGGTTTAGGGTTCAGGGTTCAGGGGCTCATGGTAGCATCTGAGACCCTTACAAGGGCCTTAGGGCCTGACAGGGCCCAATACCTCAAGCCGCTTGAGTCCTCAACAAGTCTTGGGTAGGAGTTTAGGGCTGAATCTGCTGGCAAGACACTTCTCAGACCGCGTCCTGCAGCTGGTTCTTAAGTGCATGATTCAGGCCGCCTAGGCCTGCGCCCTTTAAAACATGTGAGCCCTTAAACCCTAAACCCTAAACCCGAAACCCTAAACCCCACGGTATGCGCTGGAAGGCCGTGCGACTGCTTCGCTGGAATGGCTCTCCAAGCAGGATCAACCCCTCAGTCATAGTTTAAGGTTTAGAGTCGAGGGTTTAAGGTTTAGGGTTTAGGTTAGAGTTTAGGGTTTAGGGTTCAGGATTTTAGGCTTGAAGATCTGTACCCGCCTAGAAAGCCCTTGTGAGGGTTTACGAAGATGAGGAAACCGAATATAAATCGGCCGAAATAGTATAAGGTAAACTTAAGATCTTAGGATGCCCAGGAGTACCCTTGTTTCGTTTTTGAAGAGTTTAGGTTCCCTTATAAACCCCTTCAAGCAAATCAACTTGCCAAGCAAACTGATGTTTGAGGGTTTATTGAAGAGTCATCAAGATCAAGGTGTTCAGATCTCTGGACAGTAGTTGTGCCACATGAGGCGGATCAGTCAGCCAGTGGGCACAAGCAGCTGGCTCTGCCTCTAGGTGCCAACAGTTTTTAGGTACTAGTTAGGCGCAGAGGGTTTAGGGTTTATGGTTTTGTTGTTTGTATATCATCTTGTGCTCTGGTAGTTGGCCCTACAGAGCCTTTAGACTTACAGCGTCCGGTGTCAAAGACACTTTGACAGAAGACGCGCTCATAACACTGCTCGACTAGGTGCGCCCACAACGACGCCGGAGCTCATGCCACCGGGGCATCGTACCCCTAACGCCTGTCCAAGCATATTTTTTTCATCTGCTTCATTCGATTCTGTTATATTCCTTTGCCGTTGCTAGCATCCTGTATTATATCTGTCTAGGCTCCGGGCTTAGGGTTTAGTGTCGTATCACAGATCTAAGGGTCTTTAGGGTTTGTCCGACGCACGCAGACGTGCCCAATCTTGACAAGTCAAATCCCCATTTTTTCCTTAGAACTTGCGTAACTCCTCAAATTTGTAACTGTCACTAATAGGTCATATGACGAAGATCTGCGTAGACTCACCTGGTTGAGGTCTGGCGTTGTGGGTTTCGGGCAGAACTACGAATGAGCAATGGTTTGGGATCTTCTTCTTGGACTTTCTTTCGTAACATCGGGTTTCGGGTATGATCCTAAACCCTAAACCCTAAACCCTAAACCATAAACAAGGTAAGCTTGCGATGAACACGTGGGGCATTTGCAGCTCCCAGTCTGTGCGCGCGGAGTGCAGCTAATCCAAGCCACTTGTAGGAATCAATTCCCTTGGCAACCATCTTTAAGCCCTAAACCTTAAAGCATAAGCCCTAAACCCTAAGCCCTAAAACTCCAGCTCTGAACGCAAAGGCCTGAAGCAGTTTTTGTGGTCACTGTAGTGGTGCATCAGGAAAATCAGGTACCCCGCCCCCCCTCTCAAATTACAAAAGAAAACATGGAAGGCGGGTGAACAGGTGGGTCAAAGTACATCCCTGAGCTATAGACATCCGATCCTAAACTCTAGTAGCTGCCATCCATGATTGTAATACATGAAACCTGAAACCGTACTTTTTTAAAAAAAACATTAAACTCTAAACATTAAACCAAAAATTTTAAACCATAAATCTTAGACCTTAATTTTCAGCGTAACTGGCTACCAGAGCTTGGAGAAGCTGCAGCTTCCTGCAGCCTGCGTGCCGAAGCTTGCGGAGAAGATAAGTTTAAGGTTTATAGTTTGAAGCTTAGGGTTTTATAGTAGATTTTCTGGCTGTGTTTTCTCTGCTGCTTGAGCTTTGACTGCATACGTACCGGAGCCGCTGAGTAGCTGTACCGCATGATGAAAAGTCTATTGGCAAAGCATGCTTATTCTAATATATAGATTTATACTATTATTTTTTAATACACTTATAAAAAGTAAGCCAAAAGAACCCGAAAGGTCTCAGGCTCATATATGTATATGAGCCAGTGCCCCTCATTAACGGACTCATGCTGTTCGCTTGTTGGCTCACAGTTATTTACGATCAGAAGAGCATGGGCAAAACTGACCTGGGTGAACAGTGCGCATTTGTGAAATCCCAGAAGGTTAGGCTCGCTAAGATTTAGACAGGCGGTGAAGTCCCGAGGGTGGGTTCCTTGTTTAACCACGAACAAGAGCCAGGTGCAAACAGGGTCTCAATGGCGGATCCATGGGCGTTTTGTGGTTGTTTTCGTGCAGTTTCAAGAACTTTGATTCAGAGACGAGGGTAAGACAGGACCCTCTGCAATACAAGCACAAGCGAGTGACAACGTGAGCAAATTAGCGACGACAGGAAAACGAGCCCCCGTTAAAACAAAAAAGAGTTGTTTTGTTTTTTTCCGTACACCTTCAATCTCATGACGCCTTAGCTGGCTTTGAAAGCTGCGTCGAGAACCAGGAAGTGAAAGGTCAAGAGTGAAAGATTGGGAAAATTCGGTGGTCAGTTTCTCCTTGTCCAAACTTTCCCCCGCCAAAAAAAAAAGATACCATCACCAGCAAGCGTTCGACTCATGAAGGGTCCACCTGGCCTATTGGGTGCATTCCCGCGGCCCCTGAGGGCGCAAAAGGACTCGAGAGAACAATGACAGTAGTAGTAATAGTAATATCAAGCCAGAGATTGAAACGAGCATCTACTAACACCATCGAGCTATTAAAAACAATTATGATGAGCGAAATTCGGATGACAACTAGGATCATTGCGTGCCAAATTGAGATTTTAAACTCATGGTTTTTTTTCCTAACGCTTCTTTTCAACGGATAGCTCTAGGGGTTCTTTACACGGCCACCCCATCATAATTATGTATGGGGGTCTCCGAAATTAGGGGTACCTTATTGGGGTGCTGATTATAAGGGAATCCTACTATCTGGGGTCCTATCTTAAGGGTCCCTTATTTTCGTAAACCCCTAAACCCTCAACCCTAAACCCTCAACCCTAAACACTAACCCCCCAGATCGCCGCCCCTTGAAAGACTATCATGATTTGCCCGGGCTAGAGTTCCTATTCAACAAGCCGAACCGGACCACCAAACTTAGGGTTTAGGGTTTAGGCTTTAGGGTTTAGGGTTTAGGGTTTCGGGTTAGGGTTTAGGGTCTAGAAGAGGGGTCGGAAAAAACTACTAACAGTATTCCCTTAGGGTCCCTTTCTAAACATACTATCATACCCCCAAAACCTGATTGTAATTTATCAGGCCCCTACATTTATCATAGCATCCCCAACAATTCAGAGCACTAACAGCACGTCCAAGCCTAAGATGCGAAAACCTCCATGTGCTACCGACCCTAAAACCCAACTTGAAGGCCCTGGGTTCAGGGTCTGGGTTTAGGGTGCTTTAGGGTTTAGGGTTTAGGGTTTAGGTTTAGGGTTTAGGGTTTAGGGTTTAGGGTTTAGGGTTTAGGGTTTCGGGCCCCTTACCCAACAAACCCCCGTGCTCCAGGCAGCCAGCCGCGAAGCTTTGGAGGCTGCCCTGAGCTCCTAGCCCAGTGGTAGGGTTTAGGGTTTAGGGTTTAGGGTTTAGGTTTAGGGTTTAGGGTTTAGGGTTTAGGGTTTAGGGTTTAGGGTTTAGGGTTTAGGGTTTAGGGTTTAGGGTTTAGGGTTTAGGGTTTAGGGTTTAGGGTTTAGGGTTTGTTATGGGTTTCCTTATAAAGTAGCCACCCCAAAAAAGGGGTGCCCTTGTCATAATATGGTTACTGGGCTACTAAGGCTCGCTGCACGAGGCGGCGGCGCAGTGCAGGACTGGGTGAGGGGGGCCGTTTTGCTCTGAGGATTTCCCCCCTGACCCCCCGCGCAAAAACGAACACAACCGAAGCACAAACCCCGATATTAGGAAGCCCAACCGCCCCAAAGTGCCCTCTCAAGAGCCCAAACCCTAAAAGCTCTGCAGAACCCGAAAAGCCTCAAGCCCCACGAGCCCCGCAACCCTAAACCCTAAACCCTACACCGCAAACCCTAAACCCTAAACCCTCAAAGAAGATTCAGAGTCGTCCGGCCCAAGCCTTGGCCTGCTAATTGCATAAGAACCTCCAAAATATAAAAAAAAAAAACAAATCTTCCTTATAAGGGCAATATAGGGAGTGTGTTTTTTCATTTTCATGTTCTGAGGGTTCTTAAGCAAATAGTAGTTTCATGAACCCAAGCCCTAGACCCAGCTAAAGCGATGGCAAGCAAGGGGTTCCATCAACCTCTCAAAACCCGTGAAGCCTTCCTAAGCACAAATTGAAGCCATGATACCCTAAACCCTAAATTAAGGAACCCTCCAACCGAAAGCCCTAAAGCCCGAACTCCAACAAGGCCGCAAGACCCTAAACCCAAACCCTTAGGCCCCAACCCCCCTAAACCCTTAAGCCCTACACCCCAAATCCTAAACCCTAAACCCTGTAGCCCTCATGTTGCAACCGGTTTAGGTTTTAGGGTTTAGGGTTTAGGGTTTAGGGTTTAGGGTTTAGGGTTTAGGCTTTAGGGTTTACCACTCCATTCGGATTATCCCCAGGATGGTTTTGTCACACATGGAGTTTCTTTTGGATGCGTCGACGCAGGCAGGGCCTCTCCGAGTCGGGTGTGAGGGTTTAGGGGTTTAGGGGTTTAGGGTGTAGGGTTTAGGGTTTAGGGTTTAGGGTTTAGGGTTTAGGGTACTGGTTCTTCTCAACAAACCTCTGACTCCTGCCAGACTCCCAGACTCCCTACCTGCAGTTAGCAGTCAACACATCATCATAGCAACAAGACGACGAATGAAGCTATGGAACGCGAGCGAACAAGAATGCTGAAAGAAGTGGGCTTGGGGTGTCTGCAGCCACAGTCGTTTTGAAAGTTGGGGTTTAGGGCGACGAGTGCTAAAAGTTTTCAAAAGGGCCTATAGTAGCCGTAAAGCCTACACCCTGAACCCTGTAGGGTTTACTGGGCTTAGAGGACTCACAAGGCTCAAAGTTTAGGGTTCTTAGGGTCTACAGGGAAAGGAAGAAACAAAGAGACAGACCGGACGTGGGGAAGACAAGGGTGTGTCTGAGTTCAGCGCCTTCAAGGTTTAGGGCTTCGCTGACTTCGGGTTTTCGAGGTTGGGTTCAACAGAAGCAAAGCCATCAGTTGTGTATGCCATAAACCTAAACCCCAAACCCGAAACCCGAAACCCTAAACCCTAAACCCTAAACCCTAAACCCTAAACCGCACACCCTTTCGTGCGCAGGCGTTGGCCTTGCAAGAGCCAGCGCAGCGGAAAGATAGGCGTCCGCAGTCCGCGCCGAGCCATGCGCCTGGGGCCTGTTTTCTTTCGGAGTGCGTTTGTTTCGGGATCTGGTTCAGGGTTTTGAGTGTTTTTCCCCACCCTTGGTGTGGGGTTGTTAGATTTTGCACTCAACTCTTCTCCTCGCCCGGAACTCTTCTTCTCGTCCGGAACTCTTCCCCTCGCCCGGTCTACTCCTCGCTCATCCCTGGAGTGCCCAGCTGCAGAGTCTCCCTGGAGTGCCCAACCCCAGAGTCTCCCAGAGTCTCAACCCCAGAGTCCCCAGTGCCCACCCCGCAGCCCCAGAGTCTCCCTGAAGTGCCCAACCCCAGATTGTCCCCGGAGTGCCCAGCCCCAGACTGTCCTTGGAGTGCCGAGTATCTCTACTAAGAGAAGGTGGGGATGTTCCAAGTAAAAATAATTTGGGTTTCTTTGGGGGAAGGCTTGTTTGTTGTTCCAGTGGTGTCCTCGGTCTGCGGGAGGCTTGGGATGTTTGGGGTCTCGGGGGTTTGTTAAAGAGATTTCGGGCTGCGGGATGCAGTATGCATTTGCTTCGCAATCCAACTTCCTGTGAAGGCCTGCCATTCTACTGGAGTCAGCCAGCCGGGATATATCCACGATTGTTACGGTCAATTGCTTTAAGTTCCTTAACCGCAACCCTACACGCGTGCGCGACCGATCAGGGTAACGGCCGACAATGAACCATGCATTCCTCAAGGAGATGTGCTTTATCTCAGAGTGTCGTCTTCTAGGGAATTCCTGAAAACCAGAAGCTGTGGCCCTAGGAACCCCATACAAAGAGTGCCACTCCCAAGAGTGCCGCTCTAAGGGCCCCAAAATCGAAGACCGGCAGGGACCCGAAGCGAGAAGAGCCCTGTTTGTGCCAGGTGCTGCAGCTACAGAAGCAGCTGACTGCCAAAGTGCAGGCTGTATCCTGGTGTCCCCCCTAAACCAACCCTAAACCCTACACCCTACACCTAACCCTAAACCCTAAACCCTAAACCCTAAACCCTAAACCCTAAACCCTAAACCCTAAACCCTAAACCCTAAACCCTAAACCCTAAACCCTAAACCCTAAACCCTAAACCCTAAACCCGAGCCCTGAGCTCCACTACACTCTAAGCCCCAAACCCCAATCCATCTTAGCCCTCCTAGCGCCTTAGGATGTAGGGTTTAGGGTTTAGGGTTTAGGGCTTAGGGTTTAGGGCGCAGGGGGGGGGGGGGGGGGAAACACATCTCTTCAGTTAAGTAGGGCTTCGGCTCATAGACGTTTCGGGGCTCCGCATCCGCCTAGCAGATGGAGACATCACGTAGGTCTGCTTCCGTTGGGTGCATGGTGCATGCATTGGCTTTCACACCAGGCATCTTCGAAGTCGGTTTCTGGAAGCAGTGAATTCGGGTTTGCAGGACCATTGCCTACCCAGACTGGCCCTTCCTTGAAGAAAGTAGACATAGCTTGTTTTTTTCGCCCGCGCAGACGCCAAATAGCCAAATAGTGATAGACCATGCATGGGAGCCCAGACGTCCAAGAGGAGGACAGCTTCGCATCTGACAAACCCAGACATTTGGCGGACGGAGAGCGGGGCTACCCCCCGGACCTAGGCAAGAGCACGATGTTCATCCACTCAATGCGAGCAGGCTCGGAGAACATGTGCGCCGTGCGGCTTCATCGACCTACACCCGCCTACGCTGCACTTTAACCGGTTAGGGACGCTTTCCTTTTGGTGGGCATGAACGGTTGCAATCCTGGAGGGTCAAAATGGAACGCCGGTATGCAAACATGACCCCCCCCCAAGACCGCCCGAACACGACTCCCAGGAAGCCAAAGCAAGAGCTAGCCAAACCGCAGAGGCCTAAACTCATGATAAAACTTGCTAAAAGGTCATGGGGGGGGGGGGGGGGGTTTCGGCTCCTGGAAACGTGAGGCTTTTCTGGAAGCTTTCTTGGGTCCCGGAGAAAGGCCCCCGGCATATGCACGGGCTTGGCTGGAGCCTTTCATTGCCAGGTTCCCCACTCCTTAGGGCAGCTAGGGACCATACAGGGGCAAATCCCTAAACCCTACTAAACCCTAAACCCTCAACCCTCAACCCTAAACCCTAAACCCTAAACCCTAAACCCTCAACCCAAAACGACCAGAGGAGGCGCGAGTCCTGGCGCGGGACTCGGCCGCCTTGGCCATGCGTTGCCTCCGGAGCCACGGAGGCCACGGAGACCATGGAGGCCACGGAGGCCAGGGTTTAGGGTTTAGGGTTTAGGGTTTAGGGTTTAGGGTTTAGGGTTTAGGGTTTGGGGTTTGGGGTTTGGGGTTTAGGGTTTAGGGTTTAGGGTTTAGGGTTTAGAAGTGGAGCAGCTCCGGACCTTTAGGGCGCCACCAGGCTGGACGCTGAACCCCCCCCACAGCGCCCCCATGTCAGGGTTTAGGGTTTAGGGTTTAGGGTTTAGGGTTCAGGGTTCAGGGTTTAGGGTTTAGGGTTTAGGGTTTAGGGTTTGTGGCTCCCGGCACTTGTCGGAATACAGCATCCTCTACTTCGAGGTCACCTCTTGGTGGATATGGTCATGTACCACCATCTTGTATCCTACAAGCTAGTGATCGCACGGACAACTTTGAGGCCACATTTTGCATCAGCTGACAACCTTCGACTGGAACTGGTGACTGGAGCCCCTTCATTCTGCACTACCTGGGAAAGGTTTGGACGCATGCTGACCACCAGGTTCGTTCGCAATTTCGCGAGTAAGCTAAGTCTCACTTGATTCGCAGACCCTAAGGCCCAAACTTGTGGCAGCTGGCTCTGATTTATCTGTTCGTGATTTGGCCACGGCCCCCCACATGTTGTTTTTGAGTTGTTGGTCCTCACAGTATACTCTCAGGCGGGGCTTTGTCATTTAGTTGAGTCCAAAGGTGAGACTTCCGACTAATTTTACACCTTGCATGACGCGCAGCGCGCTTCTTGATTTGTGCCATCGACTCACAACCCTTGAAGCAGGATATTCGCTTTGCCATTGTATATATATATATGTATATATATATCTATATATATATATATGAGCACATAATATGTGTATATATATATATATATATATTAAATTTTATTATTTACATATATATATATATACACACACACACTTCAACCATTGTATATGTATATCTATATACATACAATATATATATATATATACATATACATATATACATATATACATATATACATATGTACATATATATACATATATACATATATACATATATACATATATACATATATACATATATACATATATACATATATACATATATACATCTTTTTTTTGGTTCGCCCCCCCCTACCCCCCCCCCCCCCTACCCCCCCCCCCCCCCCCCCCCCCCCCCTACCCCCCCCCCCCTACCCCCCCCCCCCCCCCCTACCCCCCCCCCCCTACCCCCCCCCCCCCCTACCCCCCCCCCCCCCCCCCCCCCCCCCCCCCCCCCCCCCCCTGTGGTGTGGTTGGGGGTTGGTTTTAGGGTTTTAGGGTTTTAGGGTTTAGGGTTTTTAGGGTTTTAGGGTTTTAGGGTTTTAGGGTTTAGGGTTTAGGGTTTAGGGTTTAGGGTTTAGGGTTTAGGGTTTTCCCCGCGGATGGGGTACTAAGATGATACCCCCCCCCTGTGGTGTGGTTGGGGGTTGGTTTTAGGGTTAGGGTTTAGGGTTCAGGGTTTTAGGGTTTAGGGTTTAAGGTTTAAGACTTAAGGTTTAGGGTTTAGGGTTTAGGGTTTAGGGTTTAGGGTTTAGGGTTTAGGGTTTAGGGTTTAGGGTTTAGGGTTTAGGGACCGTAGAGTAGACTTGGGGGGGGGGGGATACCATGGGGGGGGGGGGGGGGGCCCAGGACGCTCGACGCTGAACCATATATATATGTATATACTTCAGCAATGCCAACATCTATGGAGTCGATCCGCAGGAATCCATGGTGTCCAGATACATCAGACCCAAATTAAGCATCCTGTACCTACGAAGCCCCTGTTCTAGGGGCCTGAATAATTAGAAGAGGGTTTTGGGGATGATTCTAGCATGTTGATAAAAGGGACCATAAGGTAACACTAGCAATATTTATTCGGGGTTTAGGGTTTAGGGTTTAGGGTTTAGAGTGTAGGGCCCTTGCAGAATACGGCAGAAGAGGTTTTGAACAAGGCCCCCGAGCTGGCGAGAAGATCATGTTCGCGCACAGCTGAAGCAGAAGGCCAATCCCTTGACCTTTACGACATAAGCACCCTAAGCACACAAAGGACCTAGAACCTGCACGCCCTAAAGCCCGATTCCCCCCCAAACCCTAAATTAAACCTTAAATTTTGGCTGCTTTTGCTTTCCATAGAGCCGAAAACCCGTCAACCCCTCACACCCTAATCCCCTAAGCAGGGGTATGAACAAGGTTCTTTGTAGGCTTTGCCCTAAACCCTAAACCCTAAACCCTAAACCCTAAACCCTAAACCCTAAACCCTAAACCCTAAACCCTAAACCCTAAAACCTAAACCCTAAACCCTAAACCCTAAACCCTAAACCCTAAACCCTAAACCCTAAACCCTAAACCCTAAACCCTAAACCCTAAACCCTAAACCCAACCCAGGGGCCGAAGCACCCTAAACCCTCGAGGCAGCGGCGCCTCCGCCTCAATGTCGCCGCCGGTCCCGCCAAGGCGCCGAACGTAGCACTCCCAAGCCCAGTAGGTTTTAGGGTTTAGGGTTTAGGGTTTAGGGTTTAGGGTATCCTTTTTCCCTTTTGTTGGTTCAAGGTTCCCTTATCAAGTAACCCACCCCACAAAAAGGGTACTCTTACTATAGTAGGGTGATTGGGCTACCAAGCTTACGAGGATGGTCCTCCCAAATTAGCACAGTTTAGGGCTTGTTGCAGGGGCCACTATATGTGACGTCCCTCTCCATATGTGTTGATTCTGCTCTTCTTCGGGGCTTACGTTTCCGGATACAGTTTAGCACACTATTTCCAGCGAAGTGAGGTTTTAGTTGGGGGTGGAGGGGCCTGAACGGCTGTCAGGGTCTGATGCCTGGGTCATGTGGCATGTGTGCCGAAGTATGTTACCGTAGAGTCTGTAAAAGTGTAAACGGTATAGGGCTTGTCATGGATGGAGAGTGAGGGGCTACGTACAACTGAAACACCTCGCGCCTCACGGCTTAGGGTTTCGGATGCTTGGGTTCTTGGCCCAGGGTTTCAGCGTTTAGCCCCTAAACCCTAAACCCTAAACCCTAAACGGCCTTGGACCAGGTCAGACATCCCTATGGCCACCGTGGTCGACAACAAGGCTGAAACTCGTGGTTTAGGGTTTAGGGCTTAGGGTTTAGGGTTTAGGGTGATTCAGGGTTTGGGGGTTCTGGGGCCCGGAGGGTTCGCACGGTTTAGGGTTTGCCCAAGCCCTAGGTGCTCTTTGGCCTTTTGGTTTCAGGGTAGGGGGCTTTGGGCTGCAGGAGCAGCTCTGCTGTGATGTGTTTGGGGTTGCCCCTAAACCCTAAACCCTAAACCCTAAACCCTAAACCCTAAACCCTAAACCCTAAACCCTAAACCCTAAACCCTAAACCCTAAACCCTAAACCCTCACCCCGAGACCCTAAATACTCTTTCGGGCAACCCCTAAACCGAAATCCAGGCAGCTAGTGGAATTCCTTGGAAAACTGTTCGGCGGTTTCCTGAAGAAGTTCGGGCAAGGGGTCTCCGATTTCCTTTTGAAATCTCCATCTCGAAGCTTGCGCCTGAGGTCTCAAGCTTCACAGGGAAGGCGAAAGAGTCAAATACCTGAGGTTTTAGACTCACAGATGCCGCTTTTGGAGACAGGGCTCACAGTCTACAGTAGGGTTGAAGGGTTGGGAGTTCAGGGCTTTGGGGCTTAGGGTTTACGAAGGAACCCCACAATAAAGGACTGCGGTTTCTGGACACAATGTGGTGAGGGACACCTTGGATCAAACTCACTGGCCTCCATGCTAAACCCTCAATCCTCAACACGAAACCCGAAACCCCTATACCCGAAACCCCCTAAACCCTAAAACCCTAAACCCCAAATTCTCAACCCTAGGTTTGCCTCCCGGACTTTCATCCTGTATGAGGAATGTTCGGAACGCCCGTCGGTGTGTCTGGAGTCCAGCCCCCACAAACTAAACCCTGAACCTTGTAATCGCCATAAATCCGCAAGCCCTGAAACTTGAACCCTAAAGCCCTAAACCCTAAACCCTAAACCCTAAACCCTAAACCCTAAACCCTAAACCCTAAACCCTAAACCCTAAACCCTAAACCCTAAACCCGAAGCCATCATCTTACCTGCGAAGCACCATGACTTGTGCTGCAGTTCCCAAGTTCTCAGACGTGGGCTCGATCGGAAGTGGCGGACGGTGAGCCGAAGGTCAGGTTTAAGGTTTAGGGCAAAGAGGGCTGAGGGCTTGTGGCGGAGGGCTTATAGCATGGTACTATTCACGGTTCTTGGGTTGGCTTAGAGTTTTTACCCTAATGAAAGCCCCAGAAACCCGAAGCCCTAACCCTGAAACCAAGACCTCAAGCCCTAAACCCCAACCAAAAAATTTCGTTCTCAGGCTTGTGCTTGAATTGTGAACCCTCCTTTAGGGTTCAATGTGCAAGTGCAGCGTTCAGGGGGCTTCTGGCCCACAAGGCTCTGTCAGGGCTGTCAGGGTCTTCAAGAAAGGCTTCAGGGCATTAATGACTGAAGGTTCCTCAGGGCCCGAAACACCCTAAACCCTAAACCCTAAACCCTAAACCCTAAACCCTAAACCCTAAACCCTAAACCCAGCGGGGGTTAGGGTCTACAAGAGCGCCAGGATGGGTCATCTGTGTCTCTCAACCTTAGGTTCCTTCCTTCTTTACAGGGTTCCCTTCTTTTGGGGCAAGGCGTGTGCTGACGAGCACTCGGTGGCTTTGGGATAAACCGCACTAAGATCTAACTTTGATTTCTTGCGCGATTTTGGTTGATGGTTGAAGCTCGCCGGTTTGTCCTTGGCCAGGCACATGTGTCTGAGCTACTGGTGAGAGCGGCCACGATTTGGGGCCATGCCGGCCGAAACACGACAACTGGACAGCACCAGGCTCTGGCGACTTCTTTGACGATTGTCATGGAGTCAGCCAGCTGACCATGGCTGCTTTGAGGCATCTCTGGGTTTTCGGCACATTTGAGATGTGCTCAGGACATACATGGCCAGAAGATTGCAGGTGTATGTCGTGTGAATCAGTCTCAATGCCGTTCAGGCGGTTAAGGATTTTAGGGCCTAAACCCTAAACCCCTTTACCCTAAACCCTAAACACTAAACCCACAGCCCGCTGCAAGCATAGCTCGCGCAGGAGCAGCCAGCAGCTGAGGAAAGACCGAGCGATCTTCCCAGGAACGCGCTGTCGTTGCAGATTGGGGCGGTTTACGGGTTTGGTGTGTCTAAGTTTAGGGGCATCATTTTGTTGAGGAGTGTTGCGATGAGCTTGACTTGAAAGGCTGAGCCCCGTTCAAAAGCTTAGATAACCGCACCCACGCTTACAGGGTTCTCGCGCAATTGCTGAATCTTAAAGCAGGTAAACGATGAAACGAAGGCCTTTTGCCCAAGTTTTGACGGCGCTGTGGTCGCCAGGTCGGGCGACTGTAGCCAGCGGGTTGCCCGCTAAAGAGGTTTGCAAAGCCTGTGCTTTGGCTGGTGCTACAGGCAGCTAACCTGAACCCCAAAATCCGTCCAAATCTGACGGCCGAAGGAGAGAACACCATGGTCGAAAAATGACAAAACTCTGAAACGATACCCCTTGAACTCTATAAAAGAGGAACCGGTAACACCGACACCCTTTGAAAGCCTATACCATATCCACACCCATCCGACATCGTCTTGAAGTCACGGCAACCCGTGAAAGTCGTAAAGAGGTGTTTCAAGAAGGCCCTAAACCCTAGACCCTAAACACCATAAGCCCTAAACCTTAAACCTCAAAACCCTAGGCCCCAAACTCTACACACCCAAAACCCTGGCTCTTGCATCGGGGTCTGCGGAGGATGGTCAATCGCCAGGCGCCGGGGCAGGTCGTGAGTGGGGAGGGTGATGGCGTTTAGGGTTTAGAGTTTAGGGTTTAGGCTTTAGGGTTTAGGGTTTAGGGTTTAGGGTTACGAACCACTTGGATGTTAACATGGTATAACCGCAAGCATAGGTCTACTGTTGACGTACTTAGAGGACTTAGGGGGCTTACCAGTACAGTTTTACTTGAGTTAGAACAAGTAGGTTAGTACCCTGAACCTCCGAGCAGAGGCTTTTGACAGACTTAGGGGTTAGGGCTTCAGGAGTAGGACTTGGGTTTATTTAGGTAGGGTTTAGAGCTTCTTCTTTTTTGGTGTGCGTCCTTTTGAGCAGCTCCAACCCCCGAGGTGAAAGCCCAATTGAACAGAACTGGCCTCGATAGCTTCAGGTTTAGGGCTTAGACTTTCGGGCCGGTAGCCCTAAACCCTAAACCCTAAACCCTAAACCCTAAACCCTAAACCCTAAACCCTAAACCCTAAACCCTAAACCCTAAACCCTAAACCTAAACCCTAAACCCTAAACCCTAAACCCTAAACCCGAAAGCAAACCCATACGCACATGACCCCCAAAGCCAAAACCGGAAATCCTAAACCCTAGACTGACTTTCAATGCTTCCCGGGCTCCGAAGTCTCCCAACAATCAGTTGTCAACGGCTGAGGGTGTCCTAAACTCGAACGACCCTAAACGCTAAAACTGTTTCGCAAGCCCCCTGAGGGTTTAGGGTTTAGGGTTTGGGGCTTAGAGCTTCGGGCTTAGGGTTTAGGGTTTTAAGCCCTAGACTAACCTAAATCCGAAGAGCCCTAAATCCCTGCACCTTTGCACGCTTGAGCCCAAACGCAAACTTCACAAAACGAGATGGTTTGGGGTTTCGGGTTTAGGGTGCAAGGTTGAGGGTTTAGGTTTCCCACCCACCAGGGTGAACCTAGACTCGAACCATATACATTTCAAGTAAGTTTGTTGTGTTCTTTGTGTTGCTTTACTGTAACTTTAGATATTTAGTTTTTTTGAGTTTATCGGGCTTCCTAGTAAGTGCGGCAAAGTGTTGATGTGTCTATTTTAGCATTCGCATTTCCATGACTGGCATTTCTGTTGTTCGTCCTCATGGTTATTGCTACTTTTCTGGTTATTGCCATTGTCATGCTCTTGCGTCCTTAAACCCTAAACCCTAAATCATAAACCCTAAACCCTAAAACCTAAAACCCTAAACCCTGATGGTCTGAGGTGTTCCACTACAGGGTGGGGCCCCCTTACTATACTAACTGTAGTTAAGGGACTTATAACCTAACTTAGGGTCCTTATAACCCAATTTAGGGCCCTTATGACTCTACTTATAACTAGGGGGCCCCACCCTGTAGCAGTTGGGGAGAGGAGTGTGGACGATGGCCTCCGCAGGACAAGCCTTTCTGGACGCAGCTGGGCGGAGTGGCCTGGGATGAGGCCTGTTCTTATGGCGCTTAGGGTTTAGGGTTTAGGGTTTAGGGTTTAGGGTTTAGGGTTTAGGGCTTAGGGTTTAGGGTTTAGGGTCCAGGGGGCTTTTTGGCTGAGCGCTGTAAAGTCTTTCAGGTGTCTTTAGGATGGGTCCCTAAACTTTTGCTAGGGCTTGATTGGGGTCCGTTGTCCTGGTCGGTTAGGCTGGGGTTTCTAGTCCAAGCACTTGAGAAGAAGGGAGACCTGCGCGCGCGCGTTTCCCATTGGCATGTGAAAACACATATGACAGACACAGTAGCTGAAGATTTGAGTACAGGTGCACAAGCAAAGTTCAACCTCAGGCAGGGGAACTGAGGGGTCTGGGCGGCTGAGGGTTAGGGTTTTAGGAGTTCGGGGTTGACAACGGTTTTCCTAAACCCTAAACCCTAAACCCTAGACCCTAGACCCTAGACCCTAAACCCTAAAGCCGAAAGCCGAAAGCCGAAACCCTGAACCCTGAGGGGTTTAGAGACTTCGGGGTTTCGGTGCCATCTATAGCTTGGACACTGCTTGATGGCAAGGTCTATCTTTTTCAGCATCTGCTTTGTCCACCCTAGACCTTGCACCCTAAACCCTAACAACCCGAATTTAGGGTTTAGGGTTTAGTGTTTAGGGTTTAGGGTTTAGGGTAAACCCCAAAAACCCTAATATAGGGCACTAATTGCTAATTGTATTCCCCTATGGTCCCTATGTAATTGTACTTTAACATCCCCCAACACCGTACTCTACTTATTGAGGTCCCTATAGTGTACCTTAAGCAGGTAGATGTCCTCGCGGCCCAGTGGTGATCCCAGGCCTGTTTACGCGAAATCCGAAGTCGAAGATCAATTGCTGTTTGCTTAAGAACCCGGTTCTTTTGGAGAATAAGAAACAATAATCCCTATATCACCCTTACAAGAAAGGACTTGTTGATCTTTTTGAAGGTCCTTAAGCAACCAGTAGTCAACGGAAGAAGCTAAGCCCATTGACGCGAGGCTGTTGGCGATTCAGGGTTCAGACTCGAATGTGCCAAGAAAATGTTTATGTCTTCATTCGATTGCATGTTTAGATTGTTTTTTTAGTTTGCTGCATGTTTGTCTTATGTTCTCGACAACCATATGCTGAAATTATAGTATGCCGCAATTTTCTAGAACTTCTGTTCCATCTATGTAACACCAAGCACGATAATCTTGTCCCCACTTTCCATAGCAGGGGCGTCATCATGTCGTCAGCATCGCACTTTTGAAGCTAGGCATCTTATCTTGGCTTGGTTTGCCCATCTTTATCAGACACTCTGTAGGCCCTCAGGCTTCCCGGCTGCAAAGCAACTTGAGATCCCAAAACCCCCCCAAAATCCTCGGAGAGGTCGAGATGAGTCCAGCTATGCCAAATAAACCCCCATCCTTGCTTTGTGGTACTTTACTGTAACTTTAGAT